TGCTGCGGCCTATACATGCGTAAATACGCTATTTTAAAGAGTTAGTAAAAACAAAATTCTGTAGAATGTATAGGATGCCTAAAATTATTCTGAACGATGCATTCCGGAAGGCTGGAAATTTTCCGTATAAATGCTTATTTTGATTTCCGTTGTCCGCGTTAGTTTCCATTTAATACAGGTCATTTAACATCTTTTTCAGCCCCAAAGTCAAGGAACCTGAAAATATTTCCATTTAAGACAGATTTCCGTTTAATAAAGGGTCCGTTTAAGGAACGTTTTACTTTATTATGCAAATCGTATCTAAATTGCATGTTCATCACGGCTATATATTTGTGTTTATTAGATTGTACGAAATTAGAGATATTTCTCGAAACTAATGAGAACTCATTCAATTCATAGTCATTTGTCCCACTACAAATTACTATTAAGTCTTCATAAGATAATTTACTAATCTCCTCTTTGGCTGAGTTCTTCAGTTCACAGGAACTAGATCCAGGTTTAACTACATTGTATATATCATAATATTTACTAAGTAGGGGAGTCAAATTGCATCCATAACCTCTAAAGTGACTGTCACCAATAAAAATTACTCTTATGTGTATTCGCTAGGGCATAGTTATCACTGTTTCTTATAATAATGGACTGACTTAGAGTATTTATGCTATCTCCAAAAAGTCATTATACTTCACATCAGGCATTTGCTTGTAATTTCCACAAATTACACCATTCACAACAGTTACAATAATCTGGTCTTCATTTTCAGTTTTTGCCTGGTGGAGGTTCCCTTTGGAAGTTTTACTCTTCCTAGGTTCTTTATAATTCTTGTGATTCCTATGTGAAGGCCATGTTGGAGGTAGTCTGGATTTCTGAAATGGTATTCCAAAGGTAACTTCCTGGGGTTCATGATGGGCCACATGGGATGTGAAACGATTAACGACTGGAACTGTATACCTAGGTGTAGTTGGCAAAGTTTGAGATGAGTGCAGATTCTTCCTCCGAATTTCAGTCCATCCAATTTCACTTTCCCTTTCCATAATATTTTCTATTTGGGAATTAATGTTTCCACATAAGGGTAATGTTCCCAAGATCTTAAGTTCGTCAACATTACATTTTTCAAATAAAATTTTAATTATAAATTGCGCAGATTTTTACACAACTGTAAGAACCTTTAAGTAATTTATCATTTTAGAATCATTTTGGCACTTGTTCACTTCATTCTCCCAAAATTTCTGATCAATAGAGCGAAAGTAGTTACTAAGCACATTTCCAATTGACGCCATATTGCTATATTGTAATATAATATATATTTATAAACAATATACCAAGTATCCCGCAAAAATATATCTCGTCTGCAATGTCGAATACAGCTTAGTTTGTATTCATCTGACCAATCCATAATATCTATCTGAATATACTCAATCCAAGCGATATATCAATACTAACTGATCAATGAATTCACCCATATGTAATGGCAGAAGAGCACAGATAACTTACAGCAAAAAGCATAAAATGCTGTTGAATTATGTGTATCAGCTGTCGATCCTTTTCAGTGACTACATTCTACTATTTGTTAGCTTCCAGTGCTGAATTAACATCATAACTGTACGAGAATGTCATGTCATGTCTGTTTCCACTAAACAAGACAGGGCATTGTGCACATTCAGCAGTCAGAATCAAATGGAACTCATTTGCACAGATGTTTTGTACCATGGGACTAAGTTCATTTCCCATAAGTTGGAAAGGTTAGCAACAGTAATGAACTCCAATATATTGTAGCATTCTACAAAACTGATGCATGCTACACAGCAAAACTGTCTTACTTACAACATGGAAAACTGTGGCATGCTACAAGTCACATACTGTTCCTTTAGTCTAAACCCATCTTTACTGCTCTATGATTTACTGCACATATCAACATGCATGCGCAGATGTTTCTTCAGATGGCTCTTCTGACTGAATGACTTATTACATACATCACAACAAAACGGCTTCTCCCCACTATGTATGCGCTGATGTCTCTTCAGAGTAGTCTGATCACCGAATGACTTATTACATACAACACAACAAAATGGCTTTTCCCCAGGATGTATGCGCTGATGTCTCTTCAGAAGACTCTGTTCACTAAATGACTTATTACATACATTACAACAAAATGGCTTTTTCCCACTATGTATGAACATATGCTTCTTCAGATTACTCTTCAAAATGAATGACTTATTACATATATCACAACAAAATAGCTTCTTCTCACTATGTATGCGCTGATGTCTCTTCAGAGTACTCTGATCACGGAATGACTTATTACATACATTACAACAAAATGGCTTCTCCCCACTATGTATGCGCTGATGTTTCTTCAGAGTACTCTGATCACTGAATGACTTATTACATACATCACAACAAAATGGCTTTTCCCCACGATGTATGCGCTGATGTGTCTTCAGATGACTCTGCTGACTAAATGACTTATTACATACATCACAGCAAAATGGCTTCTTCCCACTATGTACGTGCTCATGTGTCTTCAGATGACTCTGCTGACTAAATGACTTATTACATACATTACAACAAAATGGCTTCTCTCCACTATGTATGCGCTGATGTCTCTTCAGAGTACTCTGTTCACCGAATGACTTATTACATACAGCACAACAAAATGGCTTTTCCCCACTATGTGTGCACTGATGTCTCTTCAGAAGACTCTGTTCACTAAATGACTTATTACATACATTACAACAAAATTGCTTTACCCCACTATGTATGAACATTTGCTTCTTCAGATTACTCTTAGAAATGAATGACTTATTACATATATCACAACAAAATCGCTTCTCCACACCATGTATGCACTGATGTTTCTTCAGATGATTCTGCTGACTGAATGTCTTATTACACACACCAGAGCAAAATGACTGATCCCCACTATGTATGTGTCGATGTGCTATCAGAATTTGCTCTTGACTGAGTGATTCACCACATTCATCAGAGGAATATTGTCGCTCCTCAACATGTACAGGTTGAAGTTCAATCAAATTACCCTGGAAAATGAGAGTAAATAACATGAAAAATCCTAATAGGAAGAGAAATAAGTTTGAAGCCCCAATACAGTGAGATGTTAAATCGGTAGGCGTGAGTGTTGACAGAGAGGGGTGTGAGGTATAGAGAGAGCACACCCCTTGTGTGGTGTGTGCCTGAGTCCATCAGCATGTATGGAGGTTTCTGGTTCAACAGAAGTTAAGCTGCATTGCCACTGCTTAACAAACTACAATATTAACTAGAATTATGCATTTGTAAGGCTGGAGAGGCATTTAATTAATAGTGGATATGCTCCTAAATTGAAATAACAATAAAGGCTGAGCTAAAAATGATATTAAGAAAGGCTGTATATGGTCCAGCAAAACACCCCTACACGTGACAATATATAATATACAGGGTTATTCAAAAAGAATGAACCGATTTCATGACGCATTGCTTCAGTCCTCAAGCACCGTCATGGAATGAGTCAGTGACCATTTGAAAGAGGAGTTATCTAAGTTGTGAATGGCTGCCACAGGGGTGCTTAAGTCGTGTCGTTCTTCTGGCAACGTTCAGTTGTTGTTTACCCTCGGAATAGTGAGTCCTCAGCAATAGGCATTCTGCGTTCTCGAGTTCGCAAAAACAAATCTGGTTGTCACGGTGCAGCGTGCTTTTCGAAGGTGATTCGGCATTAATCCGCCCTGTCCTAAGAACATTCGACGGTGGTTTCGACAGTTTCAAGAGAGTGGGTGCCTGTGTAAAGGAAAAAGTCCAGGGTGACCACGAGTCTCGGTTTAACAAGTGGCAAGAATCCGTGCTGCGTTTGAGAGGAGCCTGCAGAAGTCAACAAATCGAGCTAGCCATGACCTTGCGATCCCTCAATCCACTGTCTGCCATGTGCTAACAGTACGTCTACATTTGAAACCATACAGACTACAGCTCATTCAGGCACTTACCAATGACGACAAAAGGAAGTGGATGGAATTTTGCGATTCGATGCTGGAGATGATGGAAGACGAAACCTTCATTTCACGTTTAATTTTTAGCGATGAAGTGACTTTTCTCTTGAGTGGCACAGTCAATCGTCACAATGTGCGTATTTGGGGAACAGAGCACCCACATGAAACAGTTGAGCACGAAAGAGATTCCCCTAAGGTGAATGTCTTCTGTGCTGTCTCAGGACAAAGTTTATGGTCCCTTTTTCTTTGAAGGAAACACCGTTACAGGACAAACCTATCTCGATATGCTCCAAAACTGGCTCTTCACTTCACTGCAAGCAGATTCGCACGACTACATTTTTCAACAAGATGGAGCACCGCCCCATTGGCACCTCATTTTCCGAGCTTTTTTAAATGAAAAAGTGTCCCAGAGATGGATTGGTCAGAAGGGGACCAAAGACCTTGCTCTTTGTGCTTGGCCTGCGAGATCCCCAGACCTCACTGTGTGTGATTTCTTCTTGTGGGGATATGTAAAAGATCACGTTTACGTTCCACCGCTACCCACTAACCTCAATGACCTTAAACATCGAATAACAACAGCTATTAACTTAGTGCATCGTGATATGCTGATACGCACCTGGGAAGAATTCTCTTATCGCATTGATGTTGCCCATGCTGCAGGTGGTGGCCACACTGAACACTTGTAAGACAGGAAATAAAAGTTGATTGTGAGTAGAATACTTGTGACTTGGCTGGAGTTTTGTATTACTTTCCTTTAACAAAATATTGCATAATAAAATCGGTTCATTCTTTTTTAATAATCCTGTATATACAGGGTGTTTCACGACTTTAGGGCATAACTGCATGAGGTGATTTCCTAGGTCTTTGTGATCAAAAATGTTCATATAAACATGTGTCCGATTTTGGACGGTTATGGAATAATGACCGTTTTGAACTCAGAATAGAAGGTAACAATTACTGACAATAAACGGAACAAAATAATAAACCAGCATAATACGTGATACATTTAAAGTATGGATGTAAAATTAACTTTGTGTAATTACCTTTAATTTGAATTTATCGGTGCTTAAAGCTGATTTTCGAAAATGCCACAGCCGGTCGCAACACAGGCTGCCGCTTGGTTGTGAACCGCGCCGGACATACCAACCCACCATGCCTTAGGTACCCCTCAAGTGTCGAAATAACGAGAACACTCTGTCTGTAGGTGGCTAAAAATAGCAACCTGCCAGATGACAGATGCAGTTCACACGAGGGTGTGTACAGGAATGAAAAAACGGTCATAACTCCATAACCGTTCAAAATCGGTCACATGTTTATATGTACTCTTTTGGTCATGAAGACTTAGGAAATCACCTCCTGCAGTTATGCCCTAAAGTCGTGAAACACCCTGTATATACAAAGGATTCATCTAAGTAGTATCTCACGTGCCGAGTGTAATGTGGAGGAGCCCCATCATGTTGAAAGTACATTTGCCTCCTTATCGTTAACGGGATGTCTTCCAACAAACATGGTAACTCATTCCTCAGGACGGATCCATACATGTTTCCAGTTAAATTGTTGTGAAACACAAATGGGTCCGATCAATCTGTTCCCAAACACACCACAACATACATTCACAGAAAATCTCTTTTGGAATTACGTTTCCATTATCTCATGTGGATTATTATGGGACCATGTATGCATATTTCGTAAATTATTTACACCGTCCCGGGTAAACGACCGCTCATTACTGAATAAAATGATGAGCTTTTATCCAGTGGTTCCAGATGTTGTACCCTTTGATCATGGTAAGGATAATACTCTTCATCATGTAAAGTTCGCCACACATGCATATGTGATATGCCGATGTGAGAGGCCATTCTACGAGTGGATAGACGTGGACTTCTCTGAACCATCTAAAGAATGTTCTCTCGTGTTTCTCATTTGTACATCCTCCCTTTCAGAGTGCACAGAAACACTCGGAAGAGAACCAATATCACGCAATGTCTGGTGAATTCGCGTAAATACACTTCGAGATGGAATCCTTCGATTGGGAAAACACATTTGGTATTCTTCAACAGCAGCATGTGCAGTGCCACCGCAAAGTCCATACACAAAATGCATATCACAATATTCCACGTGTGAAAACACAAAAGGCATTTCAGCAACTCCGCACAACTAATTTACCAACCATTCACGACGCGGCCACAGCGTACTCTGAAGGTAGCACATGAGCTTACGGCTAGTGTGAATCATCACACTCAAGGACATACATGGATAAGACTAGCCAGCTGACAGGTACAGTGCGTGGACCTGCCAGACAACCACATTTTTCTCGGGCCATTACCTCCGTAACCATTCAACTTTGGACATAGGTGTTTTGGGTTATATCGGCATACTTTTAACATAAGGAACACCCTCCCGAAGTCTGGCATATTCCTCCTGGGAAACCCTGTATATATAGGTGTGTGTGTGTGTGTATAAAAGGCCTCAAAAAGAGGAAACAGCATAGCATCAGTTCAATAGACATGTCCACCCTGATACCATGAGCAAATCCATATGAGTCATCTCTTAGGATGCCACACAAGATTCGTTGACAGTGTAAACGTTTGGCTTTTGCCAGAAAATGGCCACTACTTCTGGATGTACATAAAATCTATACAGAAGTATGCATTCTACACAACAATATT